GGCAATGGGATCCGAACCCTCGGCGGGAGCGCCGCCGCACTCCCAAGCGGCACACTCTCCAGTGCGCCACCGGGCCGGCCCTCATCAGAAACATTTCTAAGGGGTGGAAAGCTATCAAGTCCATGGTGGTGAATACAAGTTTTCCAAAATTTGAATTTTTTCTTGAAAGCTCGAAGTTTTTCATTGACAAGTTGACAACAGACATTGTAAATTGTTTTACTTGAAGTGACAGGCCCATTCCATTCAGTTTCCAGAAAATGTCTGCCAATTAACTGTGAATGCATGTTGGTGAGGAAGAGAGGACAGGCAGCATGGTTCGGTGGCACTGACTTGATTCACACTACGGCACCAGCAGTTTTACTCACCTTCATTTTACACCATCAGTGCGGATGTCAAAACATTACAAAGACAAACAATGTGCTCATATTATATAAAAATGGTTTGACCTTGCAGACCCATTTGGGTAACACTGCTGCTGCAGAGATCGTATGTACTGCTGTGTCAACACTCTCTCCAGTGTCAATCGGCAGCTCAGCCAGAGTTGGCTCATGGAATCTAGTGAGGTTCACTAACCGGTTTTCAGAGTACCAAGTTCTAAACCAAAAACTGACGTCCCACACTGCCCAAAAAGAGCAGTTTTGTTCATTTCTAACTCCCAGGAGACGTGAATAAAATATCTAATGAGTGACAACAATAGGAGGGTTTGAGAAAGAAAGGGGTTTTAAAAAATAAAAGCAAACAGAGTAACCTGGAGACCACATCTTGAAAGCCTACCACCTACCTATGATCTCCTTCACGAGGATGGGCTGAGAGTAGTACTTGGGCTCGCTGGCACCCGCCTTATTCACAGCCTTCACTCGCACGAAGATCTTTGCATCCGTCGGCAGACCTGTGATGGTGAACTTGGTCTTGTCGATCAGCTCCGTGTTTGCAACTATCCAGTTCTCAGCTAAAACCCGTGAAAGAAAAAGGAAAGACAGAGGAACAGTGTTTAGTGAAAGAAATCATCCTGACCATTACAGTCAACTCCAAATTGGTGTTTGACTCACAATGAAATCATTTGGAGGGAAGATGACTTTGGCCTGTACTCAGACCACCTGAGTGGGCATTTTTCATATATTTAAATGAAAAGCAGCCTAAAGTGGCTAACATAAACAACAGGAAAAATAAACTATCAGATTCTGCTGTTTCCGAAAAGCCTATTCTGAATAAGAGTAAATGTCCCCAAGAATTTTCCAGCAATTGTATTCCAATTTGGTTTTATAATGACTTGATGTGATTATGATATTTAGCTATCTATATACATTAAGGTTCAGAAAAACGGAAAAGTGCTATTCTTGTGAATGACAGACATCGACCTTTATAGTCATATAATGTCTGGATTTTATCTTGGCTAACATTATTGTGAGATGTTATTATGAGCGTAGAGAATCTGATCACGTTCATTCACATTTATGAAGAAAAGAAGCTTATATCTACAAAGAGGAAACTCAGCTCATGAGCTGATAATCTCAAAACGAGCTGGCACAATCCCTTCCCACAAAATCTGATTTTGTTGTTGTTTTTGGTAGCTTTGTCCACAACTTCAAGAGAATTTAAACTCAGCATCCAGGGCTTACAAATATTTCAGCTTCTAAAATTTAGTATCCATTATGCCCACAGGAAAAAAGAAGGCTTAGATTCCTACATTATTAACTCACTGTCCCCTCCCCCCAACTCTAAGGGCTTTTTTGCATGTGGTTGGCAGGTGTACTTCATGCTTGGTCATGGGACATTCCCAGAAACATTATCATACAGTAGGAAAGTTTGAGAGCGTCGCGGAATACTTTACCTGGCAGATCACATAGATCACACGCATCCTCCCCATTTTCACCAGACTGTTTTGCTGATGTACCTTTGAGAATCCGTCATTAAAATTAATTAAAGACACCCACTTTCACACCAGAAAAATATCGTATCAGTAGTCAGCATTCTCTGTTAGTAAAGTATGCAAAGTATGCAAAGAGATTTGTCTTCAGAGCAGTGACGGAAGAGACCAAACACGTTATGGGGGTTCCTCAGGAGAGGCACAGGCTGCTCTGCACAGACTGTGGTTTTTGTCCTGAGGCACCTGCCACAGAGAAGAGGAGAAAAAAGAAAAGAGAAGAGGAGGAGAGAGGAGGCTGGGCACCTCCAGCCGTGAAAAGAAGAGATACAGAAGAACAAAGCAAGACCCCAAAGAAAAAGGAGGAAAGGTCCTGGAACCCACAGGGGAGCCGCGCACAGTGGAACAGTCTATCTTTGCTCTTTCCCTGCCACCCCAGCCTGGGAGGGTCCCTGCATGTCCCCAGGGTACATGGTACTCCCACGGTGGGTGGGACTCCCACGTCCGAGTCTGGGAGTGCAGGCATTTGTGATCAGGCCAGCTCTGTGTTACCAGGGCTCACGCTCTAAGTAGAAATGGAGACTGCCTCAGCAGTTCAGGAGGCAGCCCTGGTTGCCGTGACAATGAACTCTGTCAAGAAAACCAATTGAGCCTGCCTGGGTCCTTTCCTTCCATGTGGGTGGCTCACAGGGTGGTCTTGGGCATACCCCACTGGTTTGGGATGATTACTTTCCGTGCACCAGGAGAGGAACAGGTTTCCTCTGTCTTGTTCCAACCCTACCAGGAGTATCAAGAAGGGGCAGGAAGCCAGAATATACTGGCAGCTGGGAAGGGATGTGGCTGACAAAAATTACTTATGACTCTGAAAAAGAGATACATCTCTAAGTAAGTGATCTATTTGGGAGCTACTGTGTTTGTATTTTCATAGTCAAGAGATAATCGATAAGAAAGTGAAAATAGGAGACTGAGAAAATGTAGGAAAGAGTGAAGAATAAGGAAAGGAGAGAATTTCAAGAGAAAACAGGATGAAACAAGATCAGAGGGGAGTAAAAATAGACCATCTTTTCCCATTCAAACCACTGTAATTGGGGAAAACAGAAAGAAAATGGTGTCAGGGAAGGGGGAAGGAATATGTAAGTTATTTAATACATGAGGAGAATTCTGAAGAAAGAAAATAACTAGAGTGAAGGAAGAAAACGAAGAGTAAAATGCTGCAGGCATTAACAAAACAAAACAAAACCCAAACCAAGATAAAACAACACACGATCTTATAAAAGAAAGAAATCTCTTACAGAATAAAACCTGACATATGTCAAAGCATTAAACGCTACAGGAAATTAGTCTAGAAGACAACAGCCATTAAAAGAGAATGAAGAATAGGGCAGCCACATAAAGAAAATAAGAAAAGACTGCAAGAAGAAAGATACAGACGTTACAAAAGAACTTCCATAGAAAGCTAATTCCAAAACGTTATGTGGCAAAATCTAGACATAATAATGACTGTGTACATATACATATGTATACAGACATATACATATGTATCTACACAGGCCACACGCCAAAGTATGTAAAATACATTGCACTGTATTTTATCTAAGGTGGGTAACATCAAAATGACAGCCATCTATCATTTTGTTGTATCTTCTCACTTTTTAAACCTATCAGAAAGAAAAGAGTAAAGAATTTGCTCTGTTTCAGACATACACAAAAGGTTCGTGCTCAGCAGCCTCATTACGAAAATGACTGGGAAATGCTGCTGGCTGGGCAATATGGGAAACAGAGCGGCGTGCTCGTGCTTCTTTTCAATGGGGATGGGGGAATGGAATAGGAATGAAATATATTCTGAAGTGCTCAAGAATTTACTTGTATTAGCGACACTCCCCACCTCCCTGGCTGGGTTAACCCTGGGAACTTTCTTATGATGTCCCCACTGGTTTGGGTTAGTGGATTTCTAAGCCCTGCAAAAATCAAGCATAGTACTCTGTGGGTGGAGTGTGTGTAAAAAGAATTGAGCGATACCAGGAGGCTTTACACCCCTCTCCTCTTCTGCCCCCCCAGCCAGCGATGATCCAATCCGGGGGCCTGGGATTTCTTTTTCAGCAGTTTTCTCTCCATAGGAAGTTTCTTCTCCATGGTGGTTTTCCTCCTTCGGAGGCGCATTTGCATTCACATTCTGATCCCCCAAATGTGCTCTGGAGCTTCTTTCCTTCACTTGGAAGATCCATGATAAAGTTTAAGGTCCAAAGAGTTTGGTTAGAGGTTAAGTCTTGAGCTACTATTTGTGGGCTATGGACAAGCTTCCCTGCTGGACTGTTTACCTGCTCTCATCTAGAACAGAGCCTGAGTCCAGAGCTGGGGTGCTTTGATTCACCCCTTCTAAGAATGACAAGTAGGTAAACTAAGAAACACAACATGCTCTCGGTGAATTTCACATCTTTTTGGTTTTCAGGTACACTCTACCCATATTTTCTTGTGTCATTTCCTTGTCAAAACTATTTCTTATACCCTCTGGGATTTAACGTGGCTTTCTTTAAAACTAAGAGTTGTTCTTTTATTTCTTTTTAAAAATTAATTAATTAAGTTTTTAGATTTTAATTTCATTTTTTTTATCGGTTATGAATATTTCATGAGATACAGAGCTGGTTGTCACCCCTCATGTCCAAGATGTGAAGGCCAGATTCACACTGGCAGCTTGCCCATTACCACAAATTGTATTTGTACCCTGTGTCCCCCTCCCAATTATCCCCCACTCCCGCCCCCTCCCCCTGCCTGAATTCAAAGCCAGTTGCCTGGCTCTACCATTATTTATTTATTTATTTATTTTAAATATTTATTTATTTATTTATTGGTTATGAATATTTATGAGATACAGAGCTGGTTGTCACCCCTCATATCCAAGATGTGAAGGCCAGATTCACACTGGCAGCTTGCCCATTACCACAAATTGTGTATGTACCTTGTGTACCCGACCCAATTACTACTCCTCCCCTCCCCCTCCCCTTTTCCCCCCTCCTACTTCACTTTGTATCCCTTGGTATGTTCTTTCCCTCTGCAAGTCCAACATACCACTGTCGTCTTTCTTTCCTTCCTTCTTTCTTTCTTAGCTCCCACTTATGAGTGAGCACATGTGGTATTTATCTCTCTGTACTTTGCTTATTTCACTCAACATAAGCTTCTCCAAGCTCATCCATGTTGTTGCAAATGGGTGAATTTCACTCTTTTTTATGGCAGAGTAGTATTCCATGGTGTATATATACTACAGTTTCCTTATCCAATCATCCATTGATGGACATTTAGGTTGGTTCCATGTCTTGATCAACTCTACCAAAGCTGCTTTTTAATTTCTTAGACAGAAAATTGCCTCAACTCCCTCCAACCTCCTGCCCACCCCCTACTTTAAGAAGCCTCCAGCCCTGTCCCAGTTAGAGGTCAGAAGGAAAGCAGTCATAATCTGGGGCAATGATTCCCATGACAAAGACACATCTCTCTTGACTCACCCAAAGGAACAAAAGGCTTGGAGGGCATGCTGGGCTTGGAGATGCCCACGGCATTGACTGCAAAGATGCGGACCTCATAGGCCACGCCTTCAATCATCTTCTTGGGCTCAAAAGTTGTTTCTTTGCAGAGATCAAAATTCAGTCTCATCCACCTGGAGCTTTGTTTCTTTTTCCTCTCAATAAAGTATCCTGCAGGTACACAAAATGATAACAGGTTTTTCCTTGGCCTCCAAAATTAAACTCTGTCAGATATTAGAAGTTCTTAAAACTTTGCATGTTCTCTGTACTGTAAGGGTAATAGTCATATGTGTATGTATTTTTAACCCACCTTATCCCATCAGTTGTTTGAGAGAGATTATAGTGAATATTGATATTACCTAACACCATAATATATAGAAAAAAACGAATAAGAGGACTAGAAAAAATTATATTTTACTAGGAAGAGGAGAAAAATGGATCACAGATATGTAGGCAATTGCTACTAAACAAACAGCCACTATAGTTGAGCAATACAGACAGAGCCAATATAGTTGACTCTCAGTCCCAGTAATGAAGACAATGGAGAAATGACCAGTTTTGTGAGCCTCATTATTAGCAAGGAGAGAAAACTTTCGTGCCATAGGGGAAGCAAATTCTTCAAAGTATTTAACTCTAAAAGAAATTTTTTCATAGACATAACCCTATGGAACAAGACATTTGCTGAGTAAAACAGTGTAAGTTAGACTTATAGTTGTTTTAAAATTAGATATTGAGTATAAATGTCAAACAAAAAAAGAGAAGAGGCAATCAGATGATATTCATCAGAGCCATTTAAATCTCAAGTAGTTACAGAGCATCCTAAAATATGCATATTTCGAGTCGAATGAATATTTAAAGTCACAGCATATTAAGATTTTTTCTAAATGCAATAATTTTTAATGTACTCTGTATTAATAGGCATAAAGAGTACACCAACTGCACTCACTGGTGCACAGACTGACCAACATGCAGTTACCTAAGATTGGAGACCCTCCATCATAGACAGGAGGCTCCCAATTCATGATACACCAATCATCTCCCACATCCGTCACGTTCGGTGCCACTGGAGGGTCGGGGATGTCTGTAGCAGACAGAAAATAGGACAGAATAAAATAAAATAAGGAAGAGAGAGTGCAAAGAAAAATGTTAATGGAAAAATATGTTGTTTGTTTTAAAATTTATTGAAACATTGCACATATTTATGGGGTACAGAGTTACATTTCAATACATGTATTCAATATGTGAAGATCTATTCAGGGTAATTAGCATATTCATCATTGCAAAACGTAATCATTTCTTTGTGCTGTGCACATTTGATCTCCTCTCTTCTAGCCATTTGGTAACATGCAGTAAATCATTGATAATTATGGATTCCTGGGTTGACTGTACATCAATAGGACTTATTTTTCCTGTCTAGCTGTAATTTTATGTCCATTAATCAGCCTCTCACTTTCCCCCTCCCCTTTCCCATCTCTAGTAACCACAGTTCTTCTCTATCCTTTTAACAGTTCAACTTATTATTATTATTATTTATTGTTTGTTGTGTTTTGTTCTGTTTTTAGCTTTGACATATAAGTGAGAACATGCGGTATTTCTCTTTCTGTACTTGGTTTATTTCTCTTAACATAATTTTCTCCAAACTCATCCATGTTGCTGAAAATGGCAGAATTTCATTCTTTTTTATGGCTGAGTAGTATTCCATTGTGTATAAGTGCCACATTTTCTTTATCTAATCATCTGTTTATGGACATTTACGTTGGTTCCATATCTTGACTATTGTGAACAGAGCTGTGATAAACATGGGAGAGCAGGTATCCCTTTGACATGGTGCTTTCCATTCCTTTGGGTATATACCCAGTAGTGGGATTACTGGGTCATATGGCAGTTCTATCTGTAGTTGTTGGAGAAACCTCCATACTGTTTTCCGTAATGGCTGTGCTAATTCACAATCCCACCAACAATGTATAAGTGTTCGCCTTTCTCCACGTCATTGCCAGCATTTGTTACTCTCTGTCTTTTTGATAATACCCAAGATAACTGGGGTGAGATGATATCTCAAGGTGGTTTTGATTTGCATTTCTCTGATGATTAGTGATATTGAACATTTTTTTCATGTAGCTGTTGGCCATTTGTATGTCTTCTTTTGAGAAATGTCTATTTAGCTCCCCTGCCCATTTTTCAATTGGGTTTTTTTTTTTTTTTTTAACTATTGAGTTGTTTGAATTCCTTGTATATTCTGGATATTAGCTTCTTGTTGGATGTTTTTGGGTAATCATCATACAAACTTATTTCTGAGTACTTTTCCATGTTTACTGAAATGCACTTAGTAACTAATTTGGGCAAAAAGTCATGCTAAATATAGGATAATGGAAGGCAAGTCCAATAAAAATTAAAATAATGATGTTTCAAAATCCCTTAAGCTAGTGTCACAACATTAGAGAATAAGCCCCACATGGAACCCAAGACTCTTGTTCTTTACTTTGAAAATGGTAACTAATTATTGTCTAAATGTCGGACGTGATTGTTGTTGCCATTGTTTAACTACAAAGTGAACTTCCAGCAGAAGTGAATCAAGGACTAATTGTTGTAAATTTTACATCAGTTGAAAGATTCAAGATGCTGACTGGTAGAAATCCAAGCCAGAAATGGCAAGTCACCATGTCTTGTGAATAAAGTTCGGTGCCTGATAAAGTGACCTCACTTTTTGAAATATGTCACTTTGGGGAAAACTGAAGTGGAGAGAGGAGATCACATGGCCGTGGACCACTAATAATCTGCTAGACTCATTTTACTTGGTTTCAGGCTTAGGAAAAATGCCCTTAGTTGTCTAACGACCAAGGCAGATCTTACTCCTCTACAATGATTGTGATGATGTGAGAGATTATTTAGCAATCATGTTTCAGTGATGTTTAAAGGGCACCAACATGACTGTGGAGCACTAATGACCAGCAACCCCAAATGGCTGACCTTAGCTACTCATTCCTCCAGTGAGAAGCGCTCTAGGCAAGGGAAAAGAAGATAAAAGAAAGGGAATGGAATGAAAGAGAAGAAAAGAGAAGGAAGGAAAAAAGAAGTGGCAGAGGTAGAAAAAGAGAGACAGTGATTTATAAAATCTAGCTATACTGTGTTTCTCTTTTATTGGCTTCCCCGAAAAGCTGAGACAACCAACAGGTGGAAAAATCTACTCTGGATCTAGAGAGACATGTCAGCTTGATTCCAGAAGATTGTTTCCCAGAGGACTCACCCACAACTTTAATCTTGATGCTTGCATGAGCTTCTCCAGCTTCATTTTTCAGATGTATGTGGTAAACTCCAGAGTCGTCTCTTTCAGCAATATCAATGACCAGAGTGCTGCTATCAGGGTAGGATTCTGCTCTTATCCGGCCGCTGCCCTCCATAATAGCCTAAGAAGGAAAGAAACAAAATGTGGCAGGACCCACATGACAACAAGTGCTACTTCAGCGTGCCTTATAACCTGAGCTAGATGTGGGTGTCAATGCCTGAAATGTATTTTCTCAATTTGATTCTCCCCCAACTCTAAAGGTAATATGCCATTTTACACATGAGAAAACTGAGACTTAACTTGCTCAAGGCCACACAGCTAAGAAGCAGCAGAAGTGGGACTTGACTCCAAAGCCTACTAACCACCAATTCTCCCAAGAAAAACTTGGAGAATTGAAAATAGAAGTACAAAATTGTCATTCTAGGAGAGGAATCGCTTCTTGTATCAAATTTAATACTCAGATTCATATCAGAAACCAAATAATGATTTGTTCACTTCCTTAGTTGTCTAAGGAAAATTTAAAAATACTGAAAAGGATTAAAGAAGGCTGCAAGGCCAAATTTCCATTTATGGTGTTAAACACTGATTTTTTTCTTCCAGTAAGGACATGGAAGAATAAACATCTAATACCCAAAGTAAAGACAGAGTCAGACTGAGCCTCCTATTATATTTTCTTTCTTTTGTTTTCTTCTTCTTCTATTTTTTGCTTCTTCCCTTCTTTCTCAAACCTGAAATTTAAAGCAGCACTACATTTTTCTGATTCTAAGTCATGTCTTCTTTATGATAATAGCCAGTATACAATGAGGAAAAACAGAGGTCAAAGTAATTTAGAAACTGGGTGATTTCGGGCAGGCCCGGTGGCGCACTGGAGAGTGCGCCGCTTGGGAGCGCGGCGGCACTCCCGCCGAGTGTTCGGATCCCATGTGGAGACCGGTTCCCGCTCACTGGTTGAGCGCAGTGCAGGCGTGACACCGAGGGTTGTGATCCCGTTACCGATCAGTAAAAAAGATAAAAAGGAAAAAAAAAAAAACAAGAAACTGGGTGATTTGCCATGAACTATTAAGTTAACTCTCAAGTCTTTTGTGTCTGGGTTAGGTCTCATGAGTCTTCGATAATTTAAGATTGTGACAACAGTAATAATACTAGAAATAATTTTTATTATTCTTTAATTTTATAATACAAGAAAATTTCTTCATATTAGCTAAATTCTAATTTAAGATTATAAAAGATGTTCTGCTTCTTTTTAATGTGAAAAGAAAAATGTTTATTTGGGATAGTGTTATATTATCCTCTTCAGTTTTCTATATTCTGTATGTTTGTTTGCTTGTTGTGCTATAATTTACATAGAGTACAATTCACACTTCATAGATATACGGTTCCCACCAGCGATGTATAAGAGTTTAGTTGTTCCATATCCTTGCCAGCATTTGATATTGTCAATTTTTAAAGTGTTTTTTAAAAAATAACTTTTTAAAAATATTCTTTTTTTGTCTACCTTCTTTCACTGAGCACAATTATTTTGAGATTAATCCATATTCTTGTGTATATCAGTAATTCATTCCTTTTTATTGTTGAGTAGTAGTCCAACGTATGAATATACTACAATTTGTTCATCCATTCACCTGTTTACAGACATTTTGGTTCTTTTCAGCTTTTGGATATTACAAATAAAGCTACTATGAACATTTGTTCTAGTAGATTTTTTTTTGTCAATTACACTCGATTTTCTATATTGATAATGATGTTACCTCGAGCTGGCTGGTTAGTTCACTTGATTAGAGCACAGTGCTGATAACACCAAGGTCAGGGGTTTGGATCCCTGTACCAGCCAGCTGCCAAAATAAAACAAAACAAAACAAAACAACAACCCCCCCCCAAATACATGTATATAGATAATTATGTCCTCTACAATGAAGATAGTTTTACTTGTTTTTTTTTCCAATATGGAGGTCTTTTATTTCTTTTTCTTGCCTGATTGCCCTGGCTAGTAGCTCAAGTACAATGCTGAATAGAAATGGTGAGAGTGGACATCTTCTCTCTCTTGTTCCCAGTCCTAGGGGGAAAGCATTCAGTCATTCATTATTAAGTAGCATGATAGTTGTAGGGTTTTCATGGATGTTTTTTGTCATGCTGAGGAAATTTCTTTTACTTCCTAATTTGTTGAGAGATTTTGTTAGAAATGGATGTTGGATTTTGTCAAATGTTTTTGCTGTGTCTATTGAGATGATGGCATTTTTTTTTTACTTTGTTAATATCATGAATTGTATTAATTGATTTTCAAATGTTAAACCAACTTTCACATTCCTGGAATAAATCCCACTTTGTCATGATATATTATTCTTTTTATATATTGTTGGATTTGATTTGCTAAATTTTGTTTAGAACATTTTCATCTATGTTTATGAGTGACACTGGTTTGTAGTTTTCTCTTCTTGTAATGTCTTTGTCTGGTTTTACAATAAGAGTAATACTGGCCTTAAAGAATGAGTTGAGAAATATTCCTAATCCCTCTTCTTCAATTTTCTCAGAGTTTATGTAGAATTGGTATTATTTATTTCTTAAATGATCATTAGAACACTCCAGTAAAGCCATCTGGACCCGGAGTTTTCTCTGCAAAAGGTTTTTTTTTTTTTTTTTAAAGATGACTGGTAAGGGGATCTTAACCCTTGATTTGGTGTTGTCAGCACCACGGTCAGCCAGTGAGCGAACCGGCCATCCCTATATGGGATCCGAACCCGGGGCCTTTGTGTTATCAGCACCACACTCTCCCGAGTGAGCCACCAGGCCGGCCCTGCAAAAGGTTTTTAACTACAAGTTCCACTTCTTTAATAGATTTAGGGCAATTCAGTACTGATTTAGTAACATTCCACAAATCTGATATTTGGTGCATTCATAAACATATTCTAATTTATCTTGTGATGTCTTCTTTGATCCATAAGTTACTTAGAAATGTCTTATTTAGTTTCCAAATATTTGGGAATTTTCCAGATATCTTTCTATTATTAATTTCTAACTAATTCCATTTTGATTAGAAAACATACCTTGCATGACTTGAATCCTTTTACGTTATTGAGAATTATTTATGGCCCAAAATATGATCTATCTTGGTAAATGTTCCACGTGCACTTAAAAATCATGCCCATTCTGCTTTGTGCAGTGGGGTGTTCTATGAATGTTAATCAATTCAAGATGGTTGACAGTATTGTTCAAATTTTCTATAACCTTACTGATTTCCTGTCTTGTTCTATCAATCATTGAGAGAAGAGTATTGAAATCTCTAATTTATCTATTTATCCTTGCAATTCTATCATTTTTCTATTTGTTTTCAACTTTTCTCATCTGTTCTTTGTGTCTCTTTTTCTGCCTTCTTTTGCATTGATTAAATATTTTTATGATTCCATTTTATTTCTTTTCTGGTTTATTAGCAAGAACTCTGTTTTGTTATTTTAGGCTTTTTTAAGGGTTTATAGTATACATATTGTACTTTTCATGATCTACCTTTAAGTGATATTATGATACTCATACTTCACATATAGTAGAAGAAACTTACAACAGCACACTTCTTCCATTTTACTCTTCCCAATTCTTCTTTTTCTGTCCTTCTGATCTTCTTCTTTTGTTGTCATAAATTTTTTTCTGCATTTTTTAGTTTTAATTGAGCTTTTTATGTGATTCCATATTTCTCTTTTCTTAGCATATTAATTATAGCTCTTTTTTTTTTACTTTTTCAAAATACATTTACAACTAAATGACCACTTTCACATAACACTACCACTTCACATGTAGTGCAAGGACCTTATAATAACAAAATGTCCCTAATTTCTCTCTCACATTCCTTGTGTCATTGAAACCATTCATTTCACTAATATATAAGCATATGTAAATCTAAATATATAAGCATACATAATTGAATACATTGTTGAATACATAATTGAATACATAGCTATTATTACTTTTAAAACTGTTATCTGAAAATAAGAAATATGTTTTAAAATTTTACCTTCCTTTATTCATTCTCTGATACTCTTCCTTTTTTATGTGATCTGAGTTTCTGACCTATATTATTTTCCCTCTCTCTGAAGAACATCTTTTAACATTTCTTGCCAGACAGATACACTGGTGACAAATTCCCTCAATTTTCGTATGTATGAGAAAGAATTTATTTCTCCTTAATTTTTGAAGGAACTTTAACAGAGTACAGAATTCTAGGTTGTTGGGTTTTTTTCTCCCAACTCTTCTTGCTTGTTGCATGGTTTCTGAGGAGAAGTCAGATTTCATTCGTATCATTGCTCCTCTGAAGGTAAGACCCCTCCACTCCCCAGCTTATTTCAGGATTTTTTTTTTCTTTTTCTTTCGTTTTATGAAGTTTGAATATGATGTACCTAGGTGTAGTTTTTTTTGGAACTTATCCCGCTTGGTGCTCTCTGAGCTTTCTTGATCTGTGGTTTGGTTCCTGACATGACTTTGGGGAAATTCTGTCATTATTGCTTCAAATGTTGCTTCTCTTTCTTTCTCTCCTTCTTCTCTTCTGGTATTCCCATTATGCATATGTCACACGTTTTGTAGTTGTCCATTGTTCTTGGATATTTTGATTTTTTTTTTTTTTTGCTTTACAGTTTTGGAAGTTTCTATTTTCATATCTTCAAGCTCAAATATTCTTTCCTCAGCTGTGTCCTGTCTACTAGTGAACCATCAAAGGCATTCTTCATTTCTCTTGCAGTGTTTTTGATCTCTAGCATTTCTTTTTGATTGTTGCTTAGAGTTCCCATCTCTCTGCTTGAACATTATTCATCTGTTCTTGCATGTTGTCAACTTTTCCATTAAAGCCCATGGCATAGTAATCATAGCTTTACAAAGTTTCTGGTCTGATAGTTCCAACATTTCTGCCATATCTAACCAGGTTCCGATGCTTGCTCAGTCTCTTCAAACTATGGGTTTTTTCTGTTTTTTGCCTTTTAGTAGGGCTTGTAATTTTTTGTTGAAAAATGGACATTATGCACTGGGTAAAGAAACCACAGTAAATAGCCCTTATTAATGTAGTGGTAAGGTGTTACAGGGGAGGAAGCATTCTATAATCCTATGATTAGGTATCAATCTTTTGGTAAGCTTGTACCCCTGGACTGTGAACTTCAGTAGTGCTTCTCAATACCCACCTTCCTTACGTAGGACAGGATGGCTTAATGGGGCTAGATCTGGGTATTTCCTTCCCAATCTACTTAGGTTCTGATAAGACTTCAGCAGATTAAGTTCTGATAAAATATTTTCTCCTGAAGGCAGGCCTTGTTAAGAAGAATAGAATGCTCTGGCATGTTTCAAATTGTTCTCTTTACCTCTACCCCTGTCAGAAGCATAAGGGGATTTTTCTTTAAGGGGATATACTTAAAATAACTATTTTCATGTCCTTGACTGCTAATTCTAATATACATGTGAGATCTGGGTTGCTTTCAATTGACTTCTCTCCTCATTTTGGATTGTGTTTCCCTGCTTATTTCTCTGCTGTAATTGGATGGCAGGTATTGCAGATTTTACCTTGTGGGATGCTTGATGTTTTCATGTTCCTATATAAGTATTAAAATTTGATATGGAATGCAATTAAGTTACTTGGACATTGAATCTTTTAGGGCTTGTTTTATGACGTTAGGCAGGTCCAGAGCAGAGCCCAGCCTAGAGTTAATTATTCCCACAACTGAGGCAAGACCTTTCTCAGTACTCTACTCAATACACTGTGAATTATGAGGTTTTCAAGACTGGCTGGGGGAACAGGCACTATTCCTGGCCTTTTATGAGTGCTAGTCCCCTTCCCTTTAATGCTCTCAGATGGTTCTTTCCCCAGTCTTAGGTAGTTTCCTCACAAGTGTGCACTTATTTTGCCAAATTCTTGAGAGGGATCCTCTGCAGAGCTCCAGAGCTCTGTCTGTGCAGCTCTGTCCTCCAGTCCGTGTCGTGTGAACTCAAGCTGCCTTGCACTCCTTGTATGAAGGGAGTCCTACACTCAGGCTCTGTCCATGTTTCTCTTCCTGTACCACTACCTGGAAACTCTCTTAAGGCAGAAAGCTAGTGCAATTGTAGGCCTCACTTCATCTGTTTACCATATTTCAGAGTCACTGTCTTCCACTATCTGAAGTCTAGTGTCTTGAAAATCATTGTTCATATATTTTGTCAGACTGGGGAGTTATTCCATATGAGTGGGTAAATCTGATTCCTGTTACTCAGTTCTGGTAGGAAGTAGAAATTTCAGGTTCTTCTTTTTAAATGTAATACTTTTTTTTTTGTAGGAGCCACAGGGTCACACTTGAGCTGGTACTACTCTGCCACTCCAACCTTACCTACTTGCCTCCTCCTTGGGCACTCTGCCCCAGCCACGCTGGCTTTTCTCCTGTTCCTCCAACACACCAGGCTCATTCTCTCCCCTTGGCCTTTGCACTTGCATTGCCTCCTCCTGGAACTCTCTTCCCTTCGATCTTCACATAAATAGTTCCTGTTGTCATTCACAGAGGCTGCCAGTGACTATGCAGCCACTTGCTACCACGTCATTCTCTTTTATTATCTTCGTAGTACTTATTACTATCCAAAGTGATTTTGTCCATTTATTTGTTTAATAACTCACTGTCTATTTCTGTTCCATCTTCCTCCCTGATGGAGTTTGGATGTATTGTCCTCCCAGAACTCATGTGGAAATTTGATCCCCAATGTGGCAGTGTTGGAAACTAATTAAGTCATGGGGGTGGATCCCTCATCGGAGTTTGGAGGTATTGTCCTCCCAGAACTCATGTGGAAATTTGATCCCCAATGTGGCAGTGTTGGAAACTAATTAAGTCATGGGGGTGGATCCCTCATGAATGGATTAATGCTCTCCCTGGGGGAGGAGGAATTAATGAGTTCTCACTCTGTTAGTTCCCATGAGAGCTGGTTGTTTAAAAGACCATGGCACCCCCCCTTCTCTCTCTTGCTTCCTTTCACCATGTGATCTGCTTGTACCCACTGGCTACCTGCCACTTTGCACCATGAGTAGAAGCAGCCTGAGGTTCGTGCCAGGTGCAGCTGTCCCAGAATCGTAAGCCAAATAAACCTATGTTCTTTATAAACTACCCAGTCTCAGGTATTTCTGTCATAGCAACACAAAATGGACTAATACTCCCCCCAACACATATTAGAATGAAAGATGGAACCTTGTTCACTGCTCATAAAAGCTTGCTTGGCCACATAGTAGGTAGGCAGAAATATGAAAAATAAATAAATGATCATCAGATTTGTTTAAAAATGTCATCTTTCTTTCTCAAAGGAATTACATCTGTACTGCACTCCTGTGCATTTATTTGTCTTTTTCCTTCATCTAACTAATGGAGGGTAAGGGGTAGGGTAGGCAATATGTGTGTGTGTGTGTGGTGTGGAACAAACCTTATCTGCTCGGCTCCAAAGGGCTTTAGGAGGTGGTTCTCCAGACACAGGGATCTCAAGACGAAGCTTGTTTCCTGCAATCACTGTTACTGTATTGTCAGCATCAAGACCGTCCAGGTTGATCTTAGGAGGATCTGGAATATTAAGCATGCTCTTCGTTATTAGACAGTTATTTCTAAGAATATTTGGGCTAGTGCTTAGCTAGTACGTTGGTGGTAACCAATATTTTATCTGGCCGAAAAGAATGTAAGAGGGGTCCAGGTATTTGGTGCCAGGCACCCTGCAAAACTGTTTCATCCTAAGTCTTAAGAATCAACTATTTATGATTAGTGATTAATCTCAATTGATGTATTTTTTCTTTAAATATCACACCATTTTGAATATATTATAACTCTATGGTAAACAAAAACAAACAAGAACACAACTATATAATGATGTATTTTATCTACTCACCAATAACATGAACTTTGGCAGGCAAAGTAACAGAGTAGGCATCTGGTGCGAATACGTAATCACCCTCATCTTCAATGAGAGCATTGGCTATCACTAATTTGTGGATTCTAAGGAAACAAGGGAAACGTATTTCTGACTGCAAAAATTTGGATAATATATGACGCAAACTTAAAAGACACCTGGCATTTATCTGATTAACTTATTTAGTACAGGTGAGTGAGAAAGAGAGAGAGGAGGGAGAATGTGAAACTTAATTATCCTATTAATTGATTCTAATCAAATCTCTATTTTGGACCATATGAAATTACCTCTATAAATACAACCTGCTTATTATGTATGCAAGTCCATTATTCCCTTTTTTGTCTCATAGCTCTAAAAAGGCTAAAATAGAACATTTCAATAATGCTACACCTTAAGATTCAAGAAATTACCAAGAATAATCTTGACTTTGGCTTTACATGCCAAACCCTGACAGAAATAGTGTTAACTTTCTAGGGATCATGAACCAATGAACATCTGATGGACACCATGGATCTTCTCTCTGTAGAAAGTATGTATTTTTGTACACACAGAATCCTCTCACAATTTTGGAGGATTTATGGGGCCCTCCCAAAGTCCATTCAGGATCTCCAAAGAGTCCATGGATCCAAGGGTAAAACCCTTGCCTTAGATCTTTGCTAGATTCTAGGATATTATGCCACTCCCCCAAAAAATGTTGTGGGAAAGTCATGTGACACTTATTGGTTAGGGACAGTTAATCCCATTGACAAGGTTCTCAACTAGAATTCAGTATCATTTTTCTAACCTCATGTTTAGATGAAAAGAAAAAAAATTAATCAAATGGGTTTTGAAAAAATGAAGTACCATTGTGAGGTGCAAATACAGGATGGCCAGTAGTATATGAGGTACAACAGAGAAATCATACATTCTTGCTAGTTAGAAGCAAAGAATGAGAAATAGATCATCTCCCTAAGGCTGATGTCCAAGAACACTCACCAAATATATTATTTAGAAAGTGGAGAAAGTGGAGATGGGGACCAGCCTTCACCTGTGGGTCACCTCGCTTGCTTACCTTCCTTTGTGAACCACCTTTAGACGGTCACTCTCCTGAACAGGTAGGCCATTTTTAGTCCATTTTCCTGGTATGTTTTCAGAGATTTCACATTTCAAGCAAATTTCTTTTCCAAGATGTACAGTCTGATCAGTCAGAGGTGTCAAAATCTTCAGAGGTTTCACTGTAGGAAGAGTAGACCATCATAAATGCCAACCCCAAACTCCAGGCAGGCCAAGATGGTGGCATTTCACAATGATAGTCAGTTCTGCTGTAACACTTGTTTTGAAAATGATAATTCGTTCCAATGAAATTGATATATTAGGGGACAATTGGAGCGTAACACCAATTTCACATTTGATCATGCATGACTTCATTCTTGACAAACTAGATGCATGCAGAAAACTGCACCCAGCCGAACTGAGCCAAATAGGAATGCACAAAATGCACATATGTATACCTCAAACACTTATCAGCTATCTCAGTTTACCTGTGTGATATAAGCTATACCCATTCACATCTGAAGTTACAACTATCTGTCCAACTTCAAATAATCCACCTTCTACTACTCCACAGTAGTTCACAAGCTACACTTCCACAGCAAATTTCAGGTCTTTTTCAAGTGCCATATTTATTGTATTACTCTGTTTATTAACCATTTAACATGTGTAAAATTGTGCTACTGTTTTTTATTAGGTTCTCATATTTTTTTAATGTGTTGCTGAAAAAATTCTTGAGCATCATGCCCATTTTCCCATTTCCCCTATAAACCCTGTGGGTTTTTTTTTTCCTTTTTCTGTGTCCGGCAACGGATCGCAACCCTCAGTGTCGCCCCCGTACTGGACCGGGACCAGCAACGGGA